TCTAAAACAAGACCAACCGCTTGTCAATACGATACTCCGAGGCTGAGATATTGGCTCCTAAACCAACCCTCCCACATGCCTCATGCCGCCTCGCATCCCGGTTATTCAGCCACCTCAACAACCCTAAGCATTTTGGCTATCGGTTTCCGTCATCGCTTGGAGCGCTGATAATTGATGTCACATGCCCAAATTTGGTACTTTTACTACACCATATAGTAACTGAGCTGCATTGTAAAGACTTAATTTAGAAAACATTGCTGGCTCCATTGTGACGGGCATTAGCCATGATAGGAAAGATAATGGGAGATAAGGGCATAGGCGATGCCCCCAAAAGTCACCTATGATAACCGAAACGCCGTTCATTTATCAAGTTATCGCGGAAAAACTGAACTTTCACGAAGCAATGCTTAGGGGCGTTGAGGTGGCTGAATAACCGTGATGAGATTATATCTCCGAGGCGTGAGGCATGTGGGAGGGGAGGTTTAGGAGCCAATATCTCAGCCTCGAAGTATCGTATTGAGTTGGTCTTGTTTTAGAGAGCAAAGAATTCTGCTTAATGCAATACCATAAAATTATTCTAGACTGGCACGCAAAATAGAATAATGTTGTCGTGAAATAGCACTATTTTCCCGTTTTTCCGTTGTACACTCTAGGTATTATTAGCTCTTGGTAGGATGTATACCTCTACACGAGTTTCCGCTTAATTGTACCCAGTGGCTCCATATGTCAAACATTCATCTATTAATCCCATATTTAAAGTCTTTGTTAAGCACACTTTAGAAAAGTCTCAATAATCGATGAATGAATCAAGTGCATTCATGTGATACTGTTTTGGTGTGTTGGTGTATTACATCAGAATTTTACCGACAGAACTATAACTAATACCATACATATAAAACTTCTCTCACATCTGCAATTTATGCAACGAATACACTGCATGGAAATTACGCTATACTGATGCTGGCTCAGAGAAACCAACCGTTCAGCTGGTGCTACATGTACACTATAAGCAGCTATAAAATAGATGTCGCCTAATCTTACGAAAATAACAGTTCATTCTGCTAAGGATAAACATATAAAGCTATTCATGAATATATTTGGCTCCGAGTGCAGTGTGATGTAGAATGTGTCACAGCCATTTCACAAATTAACATCGGGATATGAGCATCATTGAGGGATAAAAGGAGTTACAACCAGGAAGAATGATTTAACAACACATCTACTTACTGGAAAGCGTCGATTCGCCTTCCTCTTCTGGTGGTGGCGGAACCTCAAACACCGACTCCACCTATAAGCAACACAATGAAACATTCATAACTACATGGTCTTCTCAGTAGAAAAGAACTAACCGACTTAGCTATAGTTACAGACAATGTCTTTGTAACAAAAACTAATGAATACAAGCCTTAGTAACGATAACAAGCAAGGGTAGAGGAAAGGGGGAGGGGGTAGGGGGGAGGATACATATTAGTGTGGATTTAGTCTGGGACCACGATATTTGAAAAGGGTGGTTTAATTTGCCTCATAACTCATAGCAAGAACTTGTTTCGGGTGGATACGACTCAATTAAATGTGAAAAGGGCTGTTGCCATTTTTTGTTGGCTATCTTTGAATGTCGGTAGCAATATTAAAACATTGCTGGCCATCATAAAATAATCATAATTTATAACAGAAACGTCAATATCTCCTAAATAACGTTTTCGAGTGATTTTAATTATTTTATAACTACTAATTAACTATGTTGCTAGTAAAATGGTCTAGCTACGCTTTCGTCCTTTTACCGTGTCTAGAACGATAATTCCGCTGTCATCCATCTTGAAATGCGCCTTGATTCCTTTGAAGTCTGCGTCTGCCTCGTCACTGTGCTTCTTTAGTGCAGCTTCCACTCCTGTGAGGTTAACCTTAGCAATTCTACTTGGTCCAAAAGCACTAGAGGTTATGAAAAAGAAACGCATTCTCACAGATGTAAACTGTAAACACATTGGTGCTACCCACATGTGAAGATATAGCTACATATATATCTATGTCTATCTACATTTTTTTGCCTTCATATAATTTCTGCCAAACAAGAAATGCTTTGTAGGTGGAAGCTGATAGAGCAAATGAAGAACAACCACCAGGGGATGCTGTACATGGATATCTTACCCAACAAGGGGTGCTGTACATGGATATCTCACCCAACAAGGGGTGCTGTACATGGATATCTCAGCCACCAGGGGGCGCTGTACATGGATATCTCACCCACCAGGGGGCACTGTTTTACAGTTAGCTCCACCCAGGGAATGCCGTACAAGGCTCAGCAACCATGGGGCCGCCCCATACCTTCTCTGTTCAGCAGTTAGGAAGCTGAGGTCTCCGTAACTGACGTGGAAATCAAAGTCCTTGAAGTGTTTGTTGAAGGTGAGGACCTTCTTCTGAGGGAAGGGATTCATCGTGTTGAACAGGGTGCGACGCGTTGTGCGAGCGACGTCACCAGACTCATGCGCACTGCCCCGCTCACGCGTAAACTCCACCTACAAACACACGTGCATGCGTGAATAACAACAAAGTGTTTTTAAGCCAGAGAAGACACAATTACAGTACACATCTTACACTCGTGCGCGCATGACCGTGATAGTGTCTGTGACATTGACTGTGATAGTGTATGTGACACTGACTGTGATAGTGTCTGTGACATTGACTGTGATGGTGTCTGTGACATTGACTGTGATAATGTCTGTGACATTGACTGTGATAATGTCTGTGACATTGACTGTGATAGTATCTGTGACATTGACTGTGATAGTGTGTATGACATTGACTGTGATAGTGTGTGTGACATTGACTGTGATAGTGTCCGTCACATTGACTGTGAGTGTCTGTGACATTGACTATAATAGTGTCCGTGACATTGACTGTGATAGTGTGTGTGACATTGACTGTGATAGTGTCTGTGACCGTGGCAGTGTCTGTGACATTGACTGTGACCGTGGCAGTGTCTGTGACCGTGGCAGTGTCTGTGACCGTGACAGTGTCTGTGACCGTGACAGGTTGTTCACGGCGCAAGCGAAGACCTCCCAGAGTGTTTACGAGAGTCCTCGAGCCATGGCGAAACTGTTCAAAGAGGCAGGCAAGGTCATGACTGTGCTGAGTGCCAATTCAGAGTTTACAGCTCAGGTAGGTGTGATGTAATTTATGTGTAGCTGTGATGTAGTTTACAGGGAGGTGTGATGTACTTTACAGGTAGCTGTGGTTTACTTTACGGGTAACTGTGATGTACTTTACGGGTAACTGTGATGTATTTTACGGGTAACTATATGATATACTTTACGGGTAACTGTGATATACTTTACGGGTAACTGTGATATACTTTACGGGTAACTGTGATGTACTTTACGGGTAACTGTGATGTACTTTACGGGTAACTGTGATGTAGTTTAATGGTAGCCATTGTGGCAGCAAGTTTAATTTAATAACTTATCTAATAGTTTAAAGTAGGCTGTAGTAGTATCATCATGTGATTCTTAATAAGTGAGTGTCTTGCTCGTATTACAAGAATGGGTGGGTGGACGTTTGTATCCGTGCATGCGTGTGCGTGTCTGAATTCACGAGCTACTTGTTTACTTGCATCTAGGTGGAAAGTTTGCTCGATGATAAAGACTTTAAGTCGCATGTGACGAGAGCAGAATTTGAAGAGCTGAATCATGATCTGTTTGATCGGGTGGCTAACCCAGTGAAGCAGGCTCTGACCTCTGCGGAAATGACGCTGGTAACACGCTTGTCTCTGCACTCAATGTACTGTTTTGCGCAGCTGAATTGTCGATGATATGAGCTTGAATAGCGAATGCTGTATGCGTAATTCGAATATCGAAACATAAGAAATGTATAAAAAAATATGAAAACTAGTTAGGTTTTTTCTTCCTTCATAGATATTAAATTGTGAAGGTTTCTCTTTGTCATTAATGTGCATATTGTCACCCCCATCTGTATGCTAAAGATTGTCTGCTGATATTAGTATTCTTCTACAGGATGAGATCAACCAAGTGATTATAGTAGGTGGCAGCACTAGGGTACCCAGAGTGCAACAGGAACTGATGGCAGCCATTAAAAGGTACATTAATTCATAACCAAAACATTCTCAAGGGAACTCGGGATGTTCGGAGTTCTAAAAAAAAAGTCGTATAATTATGGCCGCAAGTTATCTTTGTACCTGTTCATCCATTCTTATCACAATTGGAAATATATCGAGTTATTTGCATCTGTTTTCATTGCGACCAGCTCGGCTGTAATTCTGTAAGGCTCTGACGTCATACATCTGTTTACATGGGGAGAATGTGAGAGTAGTGGCTTGTGTACAACGTTGCAGGAAAGAGTTGGGTAAGAGCGTGAATGCGGACGAAGCGGCCGCGCTCGGTGCTGTCTACCAGGCCGCCGTTCACAGCAAGACATTCCGTGTGAAGAAGTTTGGAGTGCGCGATGGAAACCTCTACCCAATACAGGTGATAGACGGAGATAGATACAGACATTTCGCTAGATGGTCACGTAGCCTCAGCTGCATCTCTAGTCCACCCAGCGTACGATCATACCTGTAGTACAAACACACACACACACATATACAGATTGCACACTATGTATGTATACCTTACATACGTATCTACACAATCACTCATCTGTTATTTACACAGCTATACAATTATGAAAATTATACATTGAAGAGATATACGAGCATAGATACTAGTATATATAATATATATCATATATGGCATGGACTATATTAAAGCACAAGACAACAAGTGCCGCGGAGCGACAGCGCTCATCTAACGTCTACTGCGGTGACTCTGTGGTGGAGTGGTGGGATTCTAGTAAACCCTGTTAGTCCCAAATGTGTTTACATACACGCCGAAACAGTGGAATGCACAGGGATGGTATCAGGAACCTTCTCAAAGGAATGTTTGTTGGGATCGTTATGAAAGTTGCCACGAGATGGCGCGTACGTTTAAGTGTCTTCAGATTAAAGATGGAAGCTCCCATCGTACGTAGTAGCAACAACTATTTGCAAGACAGAATAGGTAACCACCCATCCATTTACCTACGCAAGCCTAC